CATTACTGTCCCGTCCGCGCTAGGACGATATAATGCTACTGTAGTATTCCCGACGGCTGTTGTCGCTTCGACATTTGAATGATTTTCGGCCGGCGAAGGGAGTATAGGGCATGGGTTTTCATGTGACGTACTTGCTTCGGCATTGGAGGTCTTACAATCATTACCCTGTTGCAATGTACTGCACGAAGGCTGATCGTGTCTTTTTCTATAAACGGATTGGTTAGGGCACTTTCCAGATAAGTTAGCCTTGTGAAGAATTGGAGTAGCAGCATTGCCTTCCAAGAATAACGGCGAGTCCTTGTAGTTTCTAACAGATCTTCTGAGGGTCACTCTGGCTTTCCCAACTTTAGTTTTCGATGATTTGGCAGGTTTAGTTACTATAGCAGGTAATGGAACCTGACTTATTTTTAATGCATTAGTGTCAACCGCCACGTTATCCACCGGAACTGATTTGTCTAGTGTTTCCTCTGGAGACATAACTCGCTTCCTCTTTCTGACTGGCTTTGACTTTTCCACGCTAGCGCCTTTATTAGTAGGATGTTCGTCGCCGATCGATTGGAAATTTGGCGGATTGTTTGGTAATTCTATCTTACTATGCTTAAGAATAGCCATGATGTTGTCCGTCAGTAGGCCTTGCTTCTCTTCTAGCGTCTGGACCCGCTTCTCTCGATGTCCACTGTCGAATTTGTTGACAGGTTACAGGCGCGTTGACTAGATTCTGCAAAAGATTCACGGTCTCAAATACAGGTGCCCCGTTAATGCCATCGTCCACGATAGGCAGCCTACTCAAGGCGTCAGCCACTACGTTGGCACTGCCTGTAATGTACTTCATTGCATACGTGTAAGCAGACGAAGTGAGTGCCCATCGTTGCATTCTCGGCGAGGACATCTGTTGTATCCCTCGTTTTTCTCCCAGCAAACCTAAGAGGGGTTTGTGATCAGTGTGAATTTCAAAGTGTCGGCCAAAAAGATACAGGTGGAACCGATGTAGGCCAAACATTATTGCTAAGGCCTCTTTGTCTAGTTGCGAATAGTTGGTTTCCGCCTGTGACATGGTTCTTGATGCAAAAGCAATCGGCATCTCCGAACCCGAAGGCATTCGATGCATGAGAACCGCACCTACGCCGTACGGAGACGCATCACATTTCAGTATGATAGGCTTTTCGGGGTCATAGTGAACTAGGACAGATGAGGAGGTAAGAGCCGCCTTTGCCTGTTCGAAAGCACTTTGTTCGACCTCCGACCAGTGCCAGCCACAATTCTTTTCAAGTAGTCGATAAAGAGGCTTGAGAATTGTAGCCGATTGATTCATAAAGCGACTAAAGTGGGTGACCAACCCCAGGAATGAACGCAATTGACTAGTATTGTTGGGGCGCGGCGCCGTCTTCAAGGCTTTGGGCTTATGTTCGAGTGGATGGAGGCCAGTTTTATCCACCCTGAAGCTCAGGTATTCTACCGAGTCGGCAAGGAAAGTGCACTTATCTTTCCTGAGTTTAAAACCGGCGTCCTCTAAACGTCCTAACACGATGTTTAGAGTCTCTAGATGACTATGTTCAGATGGGCCGGTAACTAATATATCGTCAAGATATGAGCAAACGTGAGGTATATCATTCACGAGGTTATCAATAAAGCATTAAAATAAACCGGGAACCGAACTTACTCCAAATGGTAGTCTTTTATATCGAAATAAACCCCGATGCGTATTGACGGTGGTGGCGTCTCGGGATTCAGTATCTAGGACGACTTGGTTGTAGGCATGCTTTAGGTCCAAAGTTGTAAATTGATGACCACCCGAGAGAGATGCGTACAGATCCTCGATGCGCGGGAGAGGATAAGGATTCAGTTTAGTTGCTGAGTTGATTGTCAGCTTGTAGTCGCCACAGATACGCACAGAACCATCGGTTTTAAGAACAGGAACTATTGGAGCTGCCCATTCCGAATATTGCACGGGCTCAATAATATCGGCTTTCTGTAGGCGATCCAGCTCTTCTTCGACCTTCGGTGCGAGTGCATAGGGGACTGTACGAGCTTTGAAGAACCTGGGCCGGAAATCTGACTGAAACTGAAACTTAACAGGTGGACCGTGGTAGTGGGTAGCTGAATCGTCACGAAATAGATCCTTATGATTTACCAAAATTGAATCTAAAGCCGGATTTACACCAATCCGATGTACATAGGATAGCACAGAAGGCACACATTTAATCCAATTTCGTCCAAGGAGATTCGGTTGCTGGCTTCCTCTCACCACATGAACCGGCAAGTAATGAAGTTCTCCATCATGTTCGACTTCGGCTGTAAAGACCCCTCGAACGTCTACGTTCTGTCCAGTGTAACTACGGAATGTTGAGCTAGCCGGTAGGAGGGAGGGTACTTTCTGAAGTGAGGCCTCATTGATGAGAGTAACGGCTGAGCCAGTGTCGATTTCAAACTTCACGGGATGGTGATCAACCGGAAGCGTGATGGTGTAGGGGGATTGGAGAGTAGCGTTGGCCGGAAACATTCGGAGTATCGCCTCACCATCCCCAGCTGGACTAGGGTAGGTCGCATGCGTGCTACTATTCGCTCGTCTTTTGGAGAAACACACTCGTTCGATGTGGCCGACTTTCTTGCAAAACTGGCATACCGTCTTCTGGTGTCTACAGTCTGACCACCGGATATGATGCTGGCCACAACGGTAGCATGATGGTAGTTGTTTTGAGGGAGCTGAGGGTCGCTGTCTAGGTGAAGACACGGCAGTGTTGACCAGGGAGACAGCCATTTCCGATTCCAAGGATGCTATCACTCCATCGTTTGACTGATTCAGCTGCTGAAGGTTTTGCCGCACGCGCTCCTGATGACTGGCAATATCACAGGCTTTCTCCCATAACAAATCCTTCTTCTCTGATAAGAGATTTTCTCGAGCTTTTTCATCGCGTAGACCGACGATCAACTGCTGAACGAGCATTGCGTGCTCGAAGTTGTCTGCCTTGATCTCTTTATACCCACAGTCCTGGATGGCCAGAGTCAGATTAGTAATAAAATCACTGACACATTGATTGGATTCTTGACGCATTTGACAAAACCGATAGCGACTGAGAAAGACGTTGTCCTTTCCTCCCCACGCTGACTCGAGTTCTGAGAAGGCTGTTTGGAGATCTATAGACTTTTGTAGATTGAGGGCATCGAAATATCGTTGTCGCAACTCTCCGAGATTCGTCCGGAGGAGTTTCAACTTAGATGGGACGTCTAGTACAATCGTGGGTGACAAAATCGGGAGTAGTTCAATATAATCCTCAAATGTCTTCCTCCATTGCAACCACGAGTCATTTGAAGGCTTCGGGGTGTTCTTTGGCCAAAAGGGTAGCGCTGTAGGCAGCAATGAAGACATGTTCGTTAGGCTGCGTCGCCAATGTTATGTATGCAAAACAGAAGGCTAATTGGAAATAGGACGTGTACTGAGTAAGATAGACAGCACAAGTGAGGAGGCTTGTGGAAACGGCCGGGTATATGGCAAGGGGGACTGTCATAGGCTGATGGGTGGCCAATCAGCACAAAGACGGTGTGAACAGGGGGCCATGACCTTGATCGTTCGCTTGTCACGCGTTTGTGGCATGATGTCCTGACGGCCCGGGCAGGATACGCTGCAAGAAGGAGGCAACCGTTGGAGGAAAAGTTGCTTGAACATGGTGGCATCCAGCTTTTTTCCGTCTGCCAACTGCTCCAAACGCCTAAGAAGCTGCGTAGGCTTCCTGTCACCGAGGTCCTCCTCAGAAATTAAACGTTGGAGACGTTTTTGCGTTGAGAGAGAAATGCGGGAAATGAGAGCCTCCTTTAGGGCAGTATAAGGGGCTTCTGTGGGCGGGCAATCTATGATGTCGCGGAGGTCGGTGGCGATGTCCATTGGGAGTGCTGTCACAACATAGTGAAATTTGGTATCCTCTCGTGTGATCTGACGGAGGGCGAATCGTGACTCTACAGTGCGCAGCCATAACGCGATGTCACCGAGCCACACGGATGGCAGGTCAAAAGTGTGAATGCCGGCTATCGGCTGGCTGGTAGAATCGCTGGACATAATTAGCCGGGGTCGGTCAGAGGTCAGATAAATGGGGTAGAGGACTGGCGCGTTGACAGAGAGATTGAAGGGTAGCGCTCGTATTGGATGAAAGGGTGAGACAGTGTGAATAGCAAATAAGGGCTAGATGAATAATCTGATCGATAAAAATTACAGTGAGGATTAATCCGAATGGAAATAGTTATGCACAGAGACTAAACAGAAGGAGCTATGAACGATATAGGGTCACCAGTATAAGAGACAAACCCACTAGTTGGGCACAGCGAGTAGGCTATCCAGGAAACGAAAATAGCAGTATCCCAACAGTTACAAACTAGTAAATAAGAACAAAGTCGTCAGCAGGTAAACATGCACGTGCGTGTTCTTTGTCTTTTTCAAAGTTGTGTCAAAGCGTATTGTAACTGATTAAAACAAGACAGACTTAAATGTCACTACACGGATCCCACACAGTGGGAGTGCCATAACGGCCACATTAAGAAGGAGCCAGTGCAGCCTGACTCTCAGACCGCCTCCAGTCAAGGAGGAGGTCCAAGGTACCCCGTCAGTTGGCAACATTCCAAGCCACGGCTTTTAGCGCACCGTGATAGCTTCAGGAGCGTCAGATTGTTTACAGTGAGCAGAATGTCATCTCTCATGTTCGCGGATGACATAAAAATATGGAGTAAAGTCAAGTGTAATGATGACGCAGAGAAGTTGCAGTCGAACATCAACAAACTGTGTGCTTGGTCGAGCAGATGGCATTTGAAGTTTAGCGTGTCCAAATGCGTGGTCTTGCACCTGAACACCGGCCGAAATGCCTCTCCCAAACACCAGTACTATACTGACGGGACGAGGTTAAAAACTGTGGACAGAGACAGAGATCTGGGTGTATGGACGACCATCAGGACACTGCAGAAAGATGGTCCAGAAGGCAACTAGTACTTTACACTGGATCAGACGTGCATTTAAAATATTTCCTCCCGAACTCTTCGAAAGACTCTTTGGTGTCTTTGTAAGACCTCATCTAGAGCATGGAATGCCAGCAGCTTCACCATGGATGAGGAAGGATATCAACTTACTCGAACAGGTGCAACGCAGAGCGACAAAGATTGTCGACGGTCTAAAGCATTTGTCTTATAAGGAGAGGCTGAATTTTCTTGGCTTAGTCCCTCTCTCTTCCAGACAAATAAACTGCAGTCTACTTTGGACTTTCCGGATTGTCCGCACCATGGTTGCTCATTAAGAGCAAAGGACTTCTTTCAGTTTGCCCGTACAAACCAACTACGCGGCGATGCCTTCAAAGTCGGGAATGAGCGCACGCGTTTAGACCGACGAAAATTTTCATTCAGCCAGCTGGTTGTCAGGCCCTGGAACTCGCTTCCAAGCGAGATGGTGACGGCTGACACAGTTTGTGTGTTTAAAAGAAAACTTGCTCGTCTACTTTTCGACAGAAATCGGCTTGTACAGCATGACTATGCACAGCCAGTTTTGTAAAATCTGTCATATACAATCATCCGCACTAATTTACAGTACCCTTATGCACTACCTTATGATTACGATTGAACTGTGATCCGAACACATTGTAAATGCCTGTAATTTTATTTTTGTGTACGAATCTGCGAAAGCACTGTACATAAATAGGGTCATCAAGGGTTCTGCCTCTAACCCTTCAAATATTTGTATATAAAGTGCGCTGAGTCGTCGCCCTCACTCTCCCTTCCCATTCTCACACCCTAGCCGCTTTCCGAGCAACTCAGCAGACCGTAGTGGGAAATTGGCGCGGCGACTGGCATGATCAACTGACCATGACTGCGCGCGCCACGTGCACGACCTGGCCACCCATCGTTAACCGTCGTTAGCCAGACACACCCAACCCCGAAGTATGGAACACCTGGGGCCGAATCCTGCTACCTGTTGACTGGAAGTCCAATGTCTATCTCTAATAAGCCAGAAATGTCCATTCCAGTCTCCCTTTTCTTTGTTGGCAATGGCAATGGCTGCTGAATAGGCTCGAGGGAGAGCCCATACAACACAATCGGGCGAGTGAGTTCCGCAGACACGATAGGCGAGCGCCCATCTACCACGATGTAGATGTCGGTCTTTGTCTAAAATAACGAGAGAAAGTTTTCATTCAAACATGCGAATTGTGGCGGCCGTCACGGTCTCATTTGGTAGCGAGTTCCATAGTCGGATAACCCGCTGGCTGAATGAAAACTTCCTACGGTCTAGTCGTGTACATTGACCCTTGACTTTGTGAGGATAATCGCTTAGTTGGTTTTTACAGGCACACTCAAACAAGTCATCCGGTCTCAACAAGCAACCTCGGCCTCAGATAAGATAGGGGAATAAGCCAAGCACATTCAGCCTCTCCTGGTAAGACAAATGCTTTTGACCACCGACCATTTTGTTGAGCTCCATTGTGCATGTTCAAGCGAGGCAATATCTTTCCTCATCCATGGTGTACTGGCTGACATTCCATACTCCCGGTGGGATCTTTCAAAGACGCTGAGAAGGCTTCCGAAGAATTCGGAATGGAATATTTTAAACGCACATCTGATCCAGCGTAAAATAATAATAATTATTTATTTAAGACCCGTCGGGGTCCCATCAAAGCAATTAAAAATAAATTTACATGCAAATTTTAGACAAGGTAGGCAGAATCTTTACAAAATGCAATTTATAGTTTCTAAATTAGTAGTCCATTGAGAAAAATGACTAGCGAGGGGTAAAAAAAAACTCAATACAAAAATTAAACAATGGTTGGATTAAGTGTTCAGGAGAAAAAAACCCCTCAATAAAAAATATTGGCAGGACTGGCCTGTATGTGGCGGTGTATAACGAATTATAATCGGACATCGTCAGGTCAGAAATAAATGTCAGCCTTGAGGGGTACGTATGCAGGTCAGACAGGACTGGCCTGCATGTGGTATTGTATACGGGATTCAGAACTGACATCGTCCGGGCCGGATTGATACGCCGCTTGAGACTATTCGCATCCAAGAGGCCAGACGAGAGGAACCCAGATGCGATCGGCCACAGTACGCTTCGAGCCCAGCCGAGGAGTGGGGGAGGGAGGTACGACCAAACTTCTAGTAGACGGTTGATACTGAGGGTTACGTCGTGAGCGTCGACAGACCGCATGAGGTCGGAATGCGGGAGATGACATCAAAAACCGCGAAAATTCTCGCTATGGGGAAGGATTGATAGCAGAGAATTTAGAAACTAATTCAAAACAGGGGTTTCTAATGATATAATTGAGGATTACCACTTGATCTACCACTAAATCCCAGGAGGACCCTTCTCGAAGTCAAGAATCTGAGTGTTCGGGAATGAGACCGTTAACAGTGCCTTTATGCTTTCCGGTTTAAGATTTTTGCGTAATTTCGATTTCAATATTGATGACTTAGGCGATGATCTAATTTCAGGCGGAAGATTATTCCATAGGAAAGCATATTTGGATGCAAAGAAGAGGGAGCGCTTAGATTTAGTGCAAAGAGACGGCGGAACCACCATGCAGGAGATGCGCGTGACATAAGACCAATCTCTCGGAGTGAGAGTGTCAATGAGCGGAAGATTGGAGCAAGAGTTGATGCGAAAAAGGAAGCAAAGGTCAGCTTAGAATCTCCTAACCCACAAAAACTTAATGTTCGCCAGCTGACATCTCTGAGTATAAGAAATACTGGAGGAAGCTTGAGAGAACAGTTCCCGGGTGAAAACCCTCTGAACATTTTCGATTTTATTACGGTCGCAGGCGTTCATTAACCCGAAGAATGGACAGCAGTATTCGAGGACTGGAAGAACAAACATTTGATAAAACCTTAGCTTCCTTTCCGGAACGAAAAATTATGCGATATGAATCCACATATTTGCGCGGCTTTGGCAGACATTCCATCTGCATGAGGTGATAAAGCAAGCTTATTTATGTATATGTATGTGTATATTGAAGGGTTACAGGCAGAGCCCTTGATGACCCTATTTATGTACAGTGCTTTCGCAGATTCATACTCAAAAATAACATAAAATTTTAGGCATTTAAAATGTGATTGGATCACAGTTCAATCGTAATCATAAGGTAGTGCATAAGGGTACTGTAAATTAGTGCGGATGATTGTATATGACAGATTTTACAAAACTGGCTGTGCATAGTCATGCTGTACAAGCCGATTTCTGTCGAAAAGTAGACGAGCAAGTTTTCTTTTAAACACACAAACTGTGTCAGCCGTCACCATCTCGCTTGGAAGCGAGTTCCAGGGCCTGACAACCAGCTGGCTGAATGAAAATTTTCGTCGGTCTAAACGCGTGCGCTCATTCCCGACTTCAATTCAATTCAATTCAATTCAATTATTTTATTAAAGACCCGTCGGGGTCCCATCAAAGCAAGTAAAAATAAATTTACATGCAAATTTTAGACGATGTAGGCAAAATTTGCACAAAGTGCAATGCATAGTTTTTGAGATTAGA